GGGGGCCCGGTTGGGGGCCCAGTTGGGGGGCCCGGTTGAGGGCACCAGTTGCGGTTCTCGCAACTAACAATTGATCAATCGTTAATTGCTGTCTCGCAATTGACAATTAATTAATTGTCAATCTTTAATTGCCAGAACAATTAAATTTTGCCCAACACTGGTTGAGATTATGCAATACAGTTAAGGTGTCATGGAAATGTTACATGGCTTTATTTATATCGCGTTTCTTTAACCCACATGTTCCTGAAACCACTTTTCATGTCAGATCTTTACGAATTTGACATATTATGTTGGTAATATTGAGACATTATACCCGTAAAAAATAATTTAAAAAATCATACTCATTTGGGAAACTCGGAAAATGGTGTCCTTTATAAAGGACGATAGCATTATGTACTACTATGCTATAAAGGTAAAAATAAAATATTTTTGTTTTGTTCACTCGGTTTTATTTAGGTAAATGAAATGCTTCAAAACAAATTTTAGGATGTAAAGTAACATTGCACTTAGGGCAGTAAAAGTTTGCCTTTTTATGACATTCTATGCAACGAAGTTGGTTATCTCTGTACCTTATAAGATGATCTTTTCCATCAAAACGTGAATTTTCTCGAAAGTTTTGCGAGACGCGATTTGTTTTGCGGTCTGCATTTCTTTTGTATGTTTCAAGAAGAGATGTGGTAATACTTCTACGGAAGTGAAGAAAATCGTACTCACCTCCATCATTCTTGTATAATTGCCAAGAATTGTGTACAGCCATGTCCAATGCATGACAAATCAACGAAAAATACCATTTTTTTCCTCTGATTGAAGTTCTATATAGACTTATATTTTGGTCGGATCGATCTACTCCACCTATGTGTTCATTATATTTTTTTACAACAGCAGGTTGATCAACTAGGACATATTTTTTCAGTTGTTGGGAAAATCGTTTCACTTTTACTACAGGCTGAACCCGCCCAGCGTTTGATGAAACAGTCACCACACTGTTATCATGCCATTTACACACCAGAATCTGTTCTGCGCTGGTGGACTGGTACCGGAATGTTCCTCGTGGTGTCTTTTGTAATTCTTTATTGGTGGGCAAAGGACATTTAGCTACACGATTTTCTCGTACAGTTCCAGTAGCTTTTATACCTCGCTCTCGTAATTCATCAATGAGATGAATAGATGTAAAAAAATTATCAAAAAATAGTTGAAATGGAGCTTGACTGTTGATTTTACGTAGCACATCTGCGTACTGCAAGACAACACTGGCACCCAAACCCAATGCATGTTTGTATTGGTTTGAAGCATTTGACTGTCCTTGGTATGGATCGAACCAAACTATGTAACCTAAGCGTGTTGCTCCAACCCAAAACTTATATCCCCACCTTATGGGTTTTCCTCGAATAAATTGTTTGCACGGATGGCCCCCATAATAAGGAACCATTGCCTCGTCTGTGCTATGATGCTCTTCAAATGGTGCATTGGCAGAAAAAGAATAATTGAGCTTATCAAATAGAATACGTAACTTGGCAAACTTATCATCAGATTTTAGATTTGTATTGTCGCAGCAATGGAGATTTGCCATTATATTTGTAAATCTATCTCTGGACATAGCGTTATAAACTATAGGCATACCACAATCTGCAGCATTTTGCCAGTACATGCATCTTCTAGGCAGAACAACGTATCCGCTATACAGGAGTATACCTATAAAACAACGCATCTCGTCTGTGCTGACATTGACCGGTTTGCTTGCATTTTTTTTGAGCTGCATAGAGGTTTGTGTAGTGTACAAACATATTGATTACATCATCGCTAAACAGCATTTCGAAATATTGTAATGGAGTGAAATGCGCAGCTGCAGTTTGCATGTCCAACCATGGATCAAAAGTAGGATGAATATCTCGTGCAGTCCATTTATATGACTTAGTTTTTGAAATTGTTACACCACTCGTAGTCTCACTTGATTTTGAAGTGGACGGAGACTCTTCAAAATTATTGAGTTCTTCAGCAGTCGCACGCCTACGTTTTGATAACTGTATGAGTGGGACATCATCATCATCTTCATCACTATAATTTGCAGATCGGTAACGAAACTCTGCTGGCGCCCTCAACTGAGATCCTGGTAAATTGTGTAACATTACATAGTTTTCATCTCCAGAATCTTCATCTGTCACATCTGCATTGCAGTTTTCAGGAGGTAAAATACTGATGGAAACAGGTGTTGATTCTTTTTCATCCTCCTCTAACTCTCCGATGATTTCATTTAACGTCAAAGGCCGCGAATACCGTTTCTGCACACTGAAAGGCAGAACAAACGTCGTAGTAGTAC